CCAGGAACAAGTCCTTCCTTGAAAAGGCCACACCTCGACAGACTTCCAGCCTGGTATTGGTGTTAATTATAAATTTCCGCTTTGCTGTCACACACTTAACCTGTCGTAAGGGAATAGCGCTGGCAGTCCAGGGACCGGCGAACCGCTATTTAAATATTCCTAATCCGCTTTTTTGGACACAGGTGACTGGTGTGAATTGTGCTTTTCGTTCTGTGTCATTAAAACGAATTTGAAAGGACATCAGTGCTGTAGCTAAGCATGGATAAAAAAGGCTTTTTCTACCCTCTGAGGTGAAATAAGAAAAAATCACCCCCCCTTGAGCTTTCCAGAAACACCGGTAGACTGAAGAAGTGTCATCCTTCATTTACTCACATGCTAAACAGATCAGAGACGCCACATACTGTATGTCCTGAGACAACAGACACACACATTAGTACATCTGTGACGGATTTCATTCATCCAGGTCATTGTGGAACACCTGCTAGAACTTATTCATAAGCAACTGGATTTTGCTGTTCATCCTATTAACTTACTTATGAATGTTTACGAACAACAGATTACTAAATGTCCAACGTCAAAGACATCCAAGATGGGAAAATATAACATTTCATGCTGCCTTCAAGTCCTCCTCAGAGTGCAGTACAATTTATAAACATTGTAATTTCGATAAAGTAACATTTTTAGGTCAAGATGTAATGCACAAATTGGGCAATTTTATATTTTTCCTCTCTTTTTAACTTCTCTCTTGTAAAAGTGCTAGAGGATTCACATAAAATACTGCCGCAGAATATCTGAAAACAGTAATTGGTCATTTTTGGCACTTCTTCAGAAGTATTTTTTTTATGAAACAAGCTTAACTTAGAAGTCAACGCTCAAGAAAAATGTACAAATAATGATCATATCTATTTATCTCATAAATAAGAGTAATGACATGACTTGAAGGCAACATTGACATGACTTGAAAACAGTCATGCAAACCTGTGTGACCATGTGAAAAAATAAAATAAAATAAAAATAAAAAATCAGCTCAAACAGACCTTGTGACCCTTCCTCCCAAAAAAGTAAATTAAATCAATTTTAAAATTAAATTAATTTTCAAAATCAGCTCATTCAGACCTTTTTTCTTTTACCTAAATAAAAATTAGAGCACATTTATGAATGCATACACACCTGTGTGCATTACATAATTTATGCATTTAAAATATGCATAGTATGATCTTCATACCCAGTGTTGATCTCATGTTAGTCCCAACCCAAGAGCATCAGGGTGTTTCAGTTGAACAAAGACAGTGGAAACCATTGGAATCTCATCTTACCTGCAGGATGTGGCTGCCAAGGTGAGGCTCAAAGATCTCCGCGGCAACAGCGCTGGGGCTCCGCCTCCGCTGGGACCCGATAGCTGCGGAAGAGAAGCACACAGCATGAACGCACTGTGTTGGCATGCGCATGCACACGCACGCACACACGCTTCCACTTTAAATCCGAACCGACTTGGAAACAAAATCCGCCTGTGCGATTTTAAACAGATACGGTAAACTGTTGAGCAAACACTTCCGCCCCAATAATACTAAGCCCCCGGTACTGTAAATACACAGATGCAAATCAAAGCCTCGGAACAGCTCCCTTCTGCATATTCAGCCGGGCTCGGCGCTACAAAGCCCGCTGTTTATAGCAGGACTAATATCGCCACAACCATTGAGCTGCAAAGCACCCGGAGAACAGCGCCCTCAGGGCATTTTTTCCAAGTTTCCAACTTTAAAGTCGGCTCAGGCTCTGCTAAAAAACGGCCTGGGGTGATTTCAAACTTAACAGACCTTGTCCCACCAGAGCTCATTATAGAGAATTTTATAACAAAGTGCTCTGTACTTAATTTTCCAAGCCTAGCCAGGCGTTCGGGTAATGTTGCTGAATTAAGTGCAATTAATGATGTAATAAAGCACTGAACGGCCATTAAGGATTCTCAAGGACCAGCAGCAAACAATGCTTGCCGTTTGGGGAAGGTGCAACGGGAGGACGTCATGCCCCAGGTGAGCAGCACGAGAGGGGCCGAGACACAAATGAGAGGCCTATGTCCTTCAGAGAGCCTCAGGCTGGGTAAACACACTTTTCCCCTCCGGTAATGCTTTCAGCGGTAAGCCCTGTGTCCGCCCCGGAGGAACGTTCGTGCCACAACATGAGCGGGAAGGGCAGCACCAGCTGGAGGAGAGAGAGAGAGAGAGAGAGAGAGAGAGAGACGGGTTCTCAGCTCTGTCTCTAGAGCGCCGGGGGTCAGTAGCCGCCACTGCAGGTGGAAACACAAACAGTCCCGAGCCGGTGGGACTCGGACACTGTGGCTCGCAGCGCACAGCAGAGGGAGCTCTCACGCTCTGAGGATCGCACAGAAAACATGCACACATACCTGCACATCAAATACTGGGTGATACACGCATTTGTGCAAACGCAATCAGTGCAACCTGAAGCTCAACACACGTGTGCTTAACACACTAGAGCTTTTGGGACAAACGGAAGTCTGTCTGATGTCGAGTTTGGTTTGAAAAGATATGGCAACACAAACAGGTCCAAAATTGATGCTTGGCAAAAAACGAATGTGAATAAAACTGGACATCGACAAGTAAATAAAACTAACCTACAGTAGGAACTTTAACATAATACATGGTAACATATTTAATTGTAAGCAAACATTTACTGTGAGTTTTTCCCCAATAAATAAAAGAAAACAAGTCTCACACAGTAAATACACTGTAAAATACACACACACACAAAAATATCAAATTTAAAATAAATTAAAAAAGAAAGTAAGTCCCGCACAATACAGTAAAGACATTGCAAAATAAAATAAAATATAAAGTATAATTATAACATTTAATTACATTTAAAAGAAAATAAAAATCCTGCACAATACAGTAAAGACACCATAAAATATACAATAATAAAATAAATTAAAACATAAAATCAAATTTAACTAAAATAACATGTAAGACGTCCCACACAATATAGTAAAAACGCTGCAAAATCGAAAATAAAATAAATAAATTTTTTTTATTAAATTAAAAAGAAAGTCCCACACAATACAGTTGAAGATGCTGCAAAATCTAAAAAAAAATGTAATTAAAATAAATTAAAACATAAAATCAAATTTAACTAAAATAACATGTAAGACGTCCCACACAATATAGTAAAAACGCTGCAAAATCGAAAATAAAATAAATAAATTTTTTTTATTAAATTAAAAAGAAAGTCCCACACAATACAGTTGAAGATGCTGCAAAATCTAAAAAAAAATGTAATTAAAATAAATTAAAACAAAATACATTTTAATTAAATTAAAAACGTCCCACACAATACAGTAAAATACATTAAAAAAAGTAACACAATAAAATACAAAAATAAACTGCAACCTGAATTGAACCCAGTGTGAACACAGCATATAATGTGCTCTAGCAGACATCTGAACCCAAACACCAGCAGTCCAAGTAAGTCAATGAAGAATATACCAAAGTTAAGAGGTCACTTGACCAGCTTCAAATTACCCTCCTCTCTGTACTTAAAGACGACATCTCCAGACAACAACTCTCATCACACAAGGATCCTCGCTTAAGACCACCGCATGGAAATCAGCCGCACGTCCTCCAAATTACTTGACCTTGAGGAGCTTTTCAAACTATAGGCCTAAACTCTGCGGTTAATATTTCATAATGAAAAATGTGAACATGTTGAACTGCAGATGAGCTTATCGAAACAAAGTGCAACCAAGTGGGTTGAGTCTTAAAGCCTAATCTGTCGCATTCTGAGACCCTCGCACCTCACAGCTTCAATGCACCTGTTAACACAAACAGCATGTGTTCACTGCATTGACATAAAAAAAACCCCAATCCAGACAGATTTCAAGCCCATTGAAAACAACAAACAAAGGCATCTTAAACGACTCTACTGTCTCCTGGTTTAAGCACACTCGATACTGTCCAACGACAAGACTATGCGACTGTGTCTCCATCCCTCTGCACAGCTGTCCGAGCAGCCAGAGAGATGAATATAATTGCATATTGATCTCAGGAATTATGCTCTATTAATCTGCTTCATTTTGCTCGTGACGCAAATGATATATGAATAAATAGCTCGCGGGAGCACAGAGGCAACACAATGTCTGTCCAGCAATGATTCTCCATAATACATCTTCTCCAGTTTAGTTCCCTGCCACGCCAGATTGAGCACATTCAAATATATTACGCCGGAAACGCGAGCAAATACATCACAGCTGCTCTAATACGTCCCGCACAATACAGTAACAGCACTGAAGAACATACAGGATTGGTGAATTGAGAACTGGGATTTTGTCAAAGACATAGAGGCTGATGTTATTTCATTCAGAGTATCGCAATTCCAAAAACGCAATATTCCAATGTCCTTGACGCCAATTCGTGGACATGCAAATGGACAGTCTGCATCAGATATAGCATTTTATTATGAGATAATGTCCAGCAATGATTCTCCATAATACATCTTCTCCAGTTTAGTTCCCTGCCACGCCAGATTGAGCACATTCAAATATATTACGCCGGAAACGCGAGCAAATACATCACAGCTGCTCTAATACGTCCCGCACAATACAGTAACAGCACTGAAGAACATACAGGATTGGTGTATTGAGAACTGGGATTTTGTCAAAGACATAGAGGCTGATGTTATTTCATTCAGAGTATCGCAATTCCAAAAATGCAATATTCCAATGTCCTTGACGCCAATTCGTGGACATGCAAATGGACAGTCTGCATCAGATATAGCATTTTATTATGAGATAATATTGTTTCCATTTGACACTTTCAATATGTAACGCTAGTCCTCAATACCCGCCACGCCACAAACAGCATTTGGTGCAAGACTGCAATAAATGCAATTTGTTACTCGCCGCAGTGGCAATTTCAAATCACTTGCGCTATTAGAAAGTCAATTTAACTTTCACTTTTATAAGTCAACATTATTGCTATTGTTAATTTATTTCTCATTGAATGCGAAATTGGCAGCAAGGCATCAGACTGTCATTTTAAATATGCAATAATTTCTCGTGAAGCTTAGACCTCTTATTCCCTAGTCGTGGATTATTGGAGCTAAATGGCAGTCCCTGGCTTCACCAAAGGCTCAGGGGCAGGTACTGTTACACAAATTGCCAATTCAATTAACGGAGTGTAGACGCTCAACTGGCAGCTGGCATGCAGGATGGCTATTTTGGCAAGTGTCAGGCCTAATTAATCAAGCTGTCAATGCTCTCGCGGTCGGAAGCCGCGGACGACGTCAAAGCCGTGGACGGCACAATGGGAAGTCGCATAATCCAGCGAAACTCATGTGTTAAGGAATGCTAACTCACATGCTAACCGGCCACACTTGAGTCTGCGGCGATCAGACGAGGCTTTCAGGATCTAACCAGGACTGTAAATGTGTTTTCCAGGAACTAGGGAATATCAGTCAAAAAACTGTTCATTTCAGTAAGTAAACCTGTCCCTTGACACAACTCTTTTAGAACAGGCAATGTCTAATGTTTAACCAACTCAATTCACATGCAAAGAGGTTAGCCAATCATAACAGCCATAAAAAGTCATTTGCATACATAATTCTTACATTCACAGTAGAAAAAAAATAGCATGTTTACTCATGAAAGAGAGAGGGTGAAAAATATTCACATAAAACTCAAGAGTGTTTTTCGTGTTTCAAGAAACCCTTACTATCATTAAAAGTAAACTTTAAAATTGAAAAGAAAAAAAAAGTAGGCTATGGCCCATAACATAAAATGTATTTACAGAAGAAAAGAAAAAAAGATATTAAGCTATTATAAAATATTATATTATGGGTGTTTTCACAACCATAGGTAGTTCAAAAACATTGACTATCATTGAAAGCTAACTTTAAAATAAAATAATAATAATAATAATAATAATCAAAAATTGTGTGAAATGACCTATTTAAGCAAGCTGAATTCACCGCCCATTTTTACTTAAATAAACAGATGCATTTGCAGTTAAAAAAAATATTAAAGTATTATAAGTAATATTATTTTAAGGTTGTTTTCAGACTTATATTTACGTACATTTTAATTAAAAATACTTAAATATAATTAAAATGTAATTGTTTTAAATTATATTTACTTGTATATTAAGAGTGTTTTCAGACTCATACCATTAAAAGTAGACTTTAAAACTGAAATATATAATGATCAAAAAGAATTCACAGCCATTTTTACTTGTAGAAATGGATACTTTTCAAGCTGATTAAAGGTATTAAGATATTTATTAAGATCTTATATTAAGGATGTTTTTAGACTTATAGTTGGTTTGTTTTGTTCCAAAAGGAGGGACTAAATTGTTATATTTATAATTATAATATTATAATAATTATTAATTATTGTTG